GCGGAGAACCAGCGAATCACTGCAGTACGGCGGGTGTACCAGAGAGGCTGTGTGAACCCCATGATCAACATTGAGCAGCTCTGGAGAGATTATAGCAAATATGAAGAGGTAAGAGGCCGACCCAGGTTCTAACTATGCGTTTGCACATAAGGAGTTTTAGCTGTTTAAAGGCACTAGAGAGTGAGGGAGTGCTTGACTGACTTCTCTATTTCATAACCAGGGGATCAATGTGCACTTGGCCAAAAAGATGATTGAGGATCGAAGCAGAGACTACATGAACGCCAGGAGAGTTGCTAAAGTAAGATTATCCACACAAAGTGTCACAATTATACACTGACTTGTTTTGAATCTTTGTGCTATATATTGAAGTCAAGCTTTCTCTGTAAACTAATATAAACTGTTGTGTGGTGTGTGTAATCCAGGAGTATGAGACTGTGATGAAGGGTTTGGACAGGAATGCACCCTCAGTACCCCCCCAGAACTCCCCTCAGGAAGCCCAGCAAGTGGAAATGTGGAAGAAGTACATCCAGTGGGAAAAAAGCAACCCATTACGCACAGAAGACCAGACCCTCATCACAAAGAGAGGTTATTATTTGTCATCAAGATATATTGGGTTGTGTTAGAATTTGTAAATCTTCGCTATATATGCCTCCCGTATGTCCCAAAAATGAGTAAATAAATATGCCTCAAAAGGCTGGTGATTTCAGTAATTATGCTGGTGTGTGATTTTAATCATTGTTTGAACATTATTCAATGGAAATACTGAGAGTACAATAGATCTTTGTCCTGTAGGAATGCAGCCACTAGAGGGCACAGGTCGACACTTCTCTCCCCACTCATGTTTGAGTATTTTACGAAGATGAGATATTGTCATGAATTGCTGTCCTGTTCTGTGTTGCAGTCATGTTTGCCTATGAGCAGTGCCTGCTGGTGCTTGGCCACCATCCTGACATATGGTATGAGGCAGCACAGTACCTGGAGCAGTCCAGCAAACTGCTGGCAGAGAAAGGGGTGAGAGATGAAACCTTTTTCACACTCAGATTTTATGTGAAATCGACAAAGACCTGTTGAGTATTTTTAGAAAAGTCAAACATGGACACAAAACAGTTGTATAACACTTTTAAATGTTTTTTTTCTCTCAGGATATGAATAATTCCAAGCTGTTCAGCGACGAGGCAGCTAACATCTATGAACGTGCCATTGGGACTCTTCTGAAGAAGAACATGCTTCTGTACTTTTCATTTGCTGACTATGAAGAAGTGAGTGCCCAGGTGCTTATTCAGTCGCAACCAAGACGGTGAGAGACACAGGGACTTATCAGCATATTTCTATTTGCCGTCCTCACAGAGCCGCATGAAGTATGAGAAGGTCCACAGCATCTATAATAAACTGTTGGCCATTGAAGACATTGACCCCACGCTGGTCTACATCCAGTACATGAAGTTTGCCAGGAGGGCGGAGGGCATCAAATCAGGTCGCACCATCTTCAAAAAGGCCCGGGAGGATCCACGCACACGCCACCATGTTTACGTGACTGCAGCACTGATGGAGTACTACTGCAGCAAGGTGAAGACACATATAATCACATTTAGTTTATGTATGGTGTGACTAAAATCAATCTTACATTGTTTTTTAATAAACTCTTTTCATTTTTCCCGACAGGATAAATCGGTGGCTTTTAAGATTTTCGAGCTTGGTTTGAAGAAATATGGTGACATTCCAGAGTACATACTGGCATACATTGATTACCTCTCACATCTTAATGGTAGGTAAAGTGTAATAAAAGGCACAGAATGTAGGAAATATATTTTCTTTGCTATTAATCCATTAATCTAAGACATTGTTACAAGGATATTGCTTTACATCTAATACAAATGTTTGTTGATGACATTTGATACTATAAGGAAGCAGTGTTGTTTTAGTATCAGCTGCGTCATACTGATGGAAAATAAATGTGCTTCTTCTCTCTCCAGAGGATAACAACACCAGGGTTCTGTTTGAACGTGTCCTCACCTCAGGAAGCCTGTCACCAGAAAAGTCAGGGTAACGTCAAGTATTTAAATAAGTTTTCGTAAAAATTGATATCTCCGATGATGTTTGTTCACTTTGATTTGTCTTTCGCTCCTCAGTGAGATCTGGGCTCGGTTCCTGGCCTTTGAGAGCAACATAGGAGACCTGGCTAGTATTCTGAAAGTAGAGCGCAGGCGTTTCACTGCCTTCAAGGATGAGTATGAGGGCAAAGAAACGGCTTTGCTCGTAGACAGATACAAGTTCATGGACCTGTATCCCTGCTCTACCAGTGAACTCAAGGCCCTTGGATACAAGGTGTGTATTTTGCCCTTTGTTGAGGGAACAAAATGCATCTCTTGCTGCCAAAACAGTTACCCAGAGCAAGCTTTTCTATGATATTTAAACATTTTCTAATGTGTGTTTGCAGGATGTGTCCCGTGCCAAACTGGCAGCACTACTTCCAGAGACTGTGGTGGCGCCCTCTGTGCCTGCACTGAAGGATGAAGCTGACCGTAAACCTGAGTACCCCAAACCTGACACCAATCAGATGATCCCCTTCCAGCCACGTCACCTTGCCCGTACGTAGTCCTTAGCTGCCCGAACTATTCCCTCAAATCCAGTACATTTTATGATACATCAGTGAAACCCTGTGTTTGAGACTCATGCCCATCACACAAGATCATTAGTCTTTATATGTCTTGACATCTTTCTTTGCTCTCTCTTCTACATTGACTTGATGCATAAAAAGATTCATCTTTGATGCAGCCTCTTGTGTTTCTCCCCACAGCTCCAGGTTTACACCCTGTCCCTGGTGGAGTTTTCCCAGTCCCCCCAGCTGCTGTTGTTCTAATGAAGCTGCTCCCTCCGCCTACATGCTTTACTGTGAGTAGCAGCAGCTTAATGCTGCCAAGCTCATATTTACTGGTAATGAACAAAAAACGAACGCAGCAGGGTTTTTTTTCTGCTAGGACTCAAAGAATCTGTGATTGTGTCTTGCTGCAGGGCCCCTTTGTTCAAGTGGATGAGCTCATGGAAACTTTTAGGAGATGCACACTTCCTGAGAGTAAGTTGCTTTTGTCAGCACTTCAGAGGAATCCAGAACAGAATGTCTGTTTTTAGCCACACTAGCAACGTGGCTCTGGTGATGGAAATGTCAGTCAGATGATCGGTCACGTACCCCACGATTGGCCCAACACTGGTCCAAAGTAAACTCATTGTGTTAAGATGTTATTCTGCCCCCTATTTGACCTGTTACTGATGTATTTTCTGTCTTTTTAGCTGTTGATGCTGCTGTAGAGCTGATCACTGGCAGACAGCCCGATGCAGGAGGGGAGGGCAATGGATCCATGGAGAACCATGCTATTGCCAAGTCACTCAAGAGGCCTAATGCAGACTCCGATGAGGAGGATGACAAAGGAGCTGTGGCTCCGCCCATACATGACATCTACCGAGCACGCCAACAGAAGAGGATTCGATAAAATAAAACGGAGTGAACCCAACAAGAATGTAATCTTAGTAGCTGGTCATATGGGGTAAACGTACATGTCCATATTTCAGAGTGTCTCACAGATTATACATCCTTTGATGTCTGTACAGAAGACGAGCATACATATACACAAACTCACACAGTCGTACATACAGTATGCACACTTGGGTGTTCTTGTGGCTTTTGTTTGTTAACAGTTTTTATTTTTAAAGACTGACCATTATACTGTAAAAAATTTTTAATTCAACTGTTCATTTTGGCACACAGTTCAGTTTTGGCCTTGTGATCTCCCAGTGATGGCAAAGTGGAATTAAGCTTTTTTTAGATAACTGGAGGAAACACAGTTGTTTCAATAAAAGTGGGGGAAAAAATCAACCATATTTGCTTTGTTTTTGTTTTTTGACTTGCTTTATGCTTTAATCCCACCTTTCTCTGAGTGGACATTTTATTAAGACGTCTTTAGCACAGCAATGCCAGGCCTTATTATGGCCACTAGATGGCAGTATGAAACTTAGTTGTTGGTCTAAAAGGTTCAATCATCCCTTGAAATAATCTGATTCTCTCTATGGAGGATAACAGAATCTCAGGTTTAGCATTATCCACTTAACAGAAGGTCAGAAGAAGATCATTTTGAAAATGGTCTGTAGTTGGGCAAAGAATGTGTGCTGCTGCATTTTGGCTATGTAAAACAAACAAACAAAAAAATATATGTTTATTGTAGCTGTGTAAAAAAAAAAAAACCCTCAGAATTAGCTCTCCAATCCAGGCAGTTCTTAAACTCTACTTCATATAAAAACATACAACTTACATAAAGAACGTTTTTTTAATATTTGCCAGCTGCTGGTTTTCACATTGTACTGATTGCCCCATTATTTGTCTGCCCAGCACAGCCTTTGTTCTGAGCATGAGGCAGCCTATCTCACCTCCGAGTCTATTCACAGGTAACACTGTGACATGAAACACTTTCCACAGAACACTAGTCTACTGCCACATAATGAAGTCTGAATTCTATTTTGAAATTTGCATTATTTTAGAAGTCTCTGCCTATTGCTCTTAGAAACTAAAACTGACTGTAAAAAACAAAAACATATATCTATGATAACGTCTTTACTTTTGTGGGTGTTTGTATTCAATAGTTTCTGAATGATAAATGTGAGAGAATCATTTGTTTCCTTTAAAGTGTTTTAGTAGAGCTCCCCACCAAGAGGACCTATCAAAGAAAGTAATTGCATGGTTCTTTCTGGTTTCTCGTTCTTGTTTTGCTCTCTAGCATCAACAAAACTACCTGAACAAAAGGTCTCGAAAGGAAAGTACCTCTCATTTTCTCATTACAATTGATAAGCTACTGTTTGCATTTCAAACTCTGGACTCTTGAGATGTTGAGATGAAAGCGTGTGTGTTTTGGCTGGAACTTCTTAATGTAAACAATGACAGAATATGAGAAAAGGAAAGGGGCTTTCATGAACATTGAACTCAAACATTATTTCCAAAACTATGTCTTTATTTTAGAGATACACAGTGTGTGTATGGATGTCAGTTTTTACAGCTTCATTAGTTGACAGAGCACCTAAAGCCCACTCTCAGTAACACATATGGAGGTGACTGTATTTGCAACTGTATTTGACAGAAAAAGCCATGTCCACTGCTCGGCTTGTGTTTAAATAGGCCTGGGCCATAAAGCTCTGTCTCAAAATGAGCACAATATTGAATAATATTTGTGTTTGATAGACACATTTCTGGGCAATCCAGATGGAATTTGTTTTCTTTTTATCAGCACATACACATTTTGTGTCTCCAATGAAAAAAGGGGTAACCTACATGTATGAATGAATTTCAGCTGAATTTTATCAAGACCTGGCAAAATGTGTGCGGCTTAAAGTTAGTCCTGGAATGCTTCTGTCACCTGGAGATGCGGAAGCGATTTCCTCAGGTGATTAGAGAGGGGCACAAAACCTTATTTCAAACAGAACCTTGAAAATGCAGCTAAAACGCAGCTATGGTTAAGGTTTTCAGTCAAAAAAAAAAATTACAAACATCTGTTTTGCTGATTTGTAGCAACAAACACAAACCCCCAGAGGGCTGATTCTCATGAATGCCTCTGACTGTTTACTACAGCACATCATTAGACTTTCAGATTTGCAGGTTCAAATTTCCGTTTGATGGTTCCTCAGTCTGTGCATCGCACTGTATATGAGAAACCACATGAACAGACACATTTTCTAATTCTAACATTGTTCCTATTGCACAAGCACAGAGAATACATCCATTGAAAAGTGACATGCAGACTTGTCCTTACTGGCTTGCAGATACAGAACGTCATCAAGACGCATTGCAGTGTGAAAACAAAACAAAACAAAAAAGCTTTCAGGAACACATGGTTCTCTTTGTCGTTCTGGGAAAGTAACAGTCTCACATATAACTGACAGTCATTTCATGTTAGTGTCCTGCACCAAAGAAAATATTTTTTTTAAATTTAAGACATGTAAAAAGTAAATATGTCCTTAAATATCGCAGCTTATTAAGAGTCTCTACAATTAAAATTCACATTCTTTTTCAGTAGTTTAAACAATTTACATACAAGCAAAGAAAATCCACTTACTATACCGCACATCATCGTATCAGATTTTCTTCTTACATCTATGTCTTTTTACATTATGATACATGATCTAATAAATATTACTGTAGCAACATGTTGATACTGGACAATCTATTTCCAAAGTACTGAACAAAAATCTCTGGATGGCCTTTATAAAACTGTCCCAGCAGCCGTCTCTTTTCTCTGGCGGAGAGTTTTGGGTCCTCGTGGACTGTCCGGAGTAAGGACCAAAGTTCTTCTTTGGTGGTTTTCTGTGCATTTTCTGAATAGGCCTTAGCACTCAGTCTTGTGCAGAATGTCGACCCTGCAGTAAAGAGAGATGGAGAAGCAAAAATTGAGAGTAGGAAAAGTTTGGTCGCACAAATAAGAATAAGAGATAAAAGGAAAATGTGCAAACCTGTTATCATATCTGGATCCTTCCCTTTCACAATGTTCACTATTCTGTCACTGACCATCTTGTGCAAGGAAACAGGAATCTGGTGGGAAGAGAGCAATAAAAGAAAACATTAAGGTTCCATTTACTTTGACTTAACGATCCAACATTAATATGAATAAAATGTTTGTTTTGTTTGTAGCTGTCTGTGATCTCACAAAGTCAGACACATGTGATTTATGAATTCTCTCTCCAGTAATATCCAACGTCTGATTGGTTACAAGTCTGCTTCTGAACAGCCTGTGTAAACAGCTTTTTATCTACCCTGCGCCTAAGGTCTCTTGCAGAGATTGCTACATCCCTCCTACAACAACAAATGCACACGTACACACACTGGCAAAGAGGAAAATTAGCAGCACTCACTTTGAAAAGATCACAGTGGTTATCCATCATAAACAGAACCATCAAGTCCACCTTTCCTTTGGAGAGTCTTCTGCTGTAGACGATGGCACTTGAGAAAGACCTCTTCACCGCCATTCTGTTCTCAATCTGACAGAGGATTATTTAGAGTTAATAACAATCTAACAAACTCATCTTCAGAGACACACAAGATGCGCACAAGTGCCCACCTCTTTGTGCAGTTTGACCTCCTGTGGTTTGGCTGCAGTGGCCATGAATCTCAGCAGTCTGCGTAGCTCCTCCCTGCTGCGAGAGTCCTGCAGCTTCAGGCTCAGCTGCAGAGCCTCCAGAGCTTGCTCCTGCTTGCCGTTCACTGACAAACAACCACAGAAAATACAAGGATGAAAATGCGGAACTTGATCAAATTAGTCTTTGTGATTATAATGTATTTGAAATAGCCCTCCTAAAAAAAACAACAGGGTACCTAAGAGCCCTTATAGCTCCTCCTCTTACCGAGTAATTCCGAGATGCCAGAGTGAATGTCGAAGACGTGGTTGCTGAGCAGTGGTGGCTGTTGTGTGTGTCCGTAATGCTGAGCCAGGACCTCATAGAGCAGCCTCTTACACTGGACCACGTCGTTTGCACAAGCAGCCAAACCTCGACTGACCTCAACCACTAGTTCATCAGGCAGAAACTCCAGACAGTCCACTGCCCCTGACATCCACTCATCAGCCCTGAGGGGGAGGGAAGTAGTGTGATTTTAGACACAGACAGCAGATTGAACAAAGTCAAGCGAGTGAGAGATACAAATAAGGTCAGATAAGCTCTTGATCTTCAGTGTTTTGGAGACAATTTGTCTGCTTCCAGCAAAGTAACATAGACTTCTTTTTTTTTTTAAGTGTTTTTTCAGGCATTTTTGCCTTTATTCTTCTGATAGGACAGTGAGAGATAGAGAATAAAGTCAGGCAGAGAGAGAGAAAGAGTGGACTCGAACCCATGGCCACTGAGGTTAGGACTAAGCCTGTGTGGTACACACCCTACCACGTTAAAACCAGGCTCGAATTATTTTTTTATTCATGTAGGTTACACATAATCAGTAATAAAATAATAATTTCATCATGATTATTTGCTCAGGCAGAGGTAGCAACACCACATTATAAAACTATACATACTATAGACTACACACTATTATATTCAGAAGTTTGTCTGGGTAGCAGCTGGTAAAGAGTTAAAAAAAAAAACCCCAGTGGATTAGGATTGACAGAAATATGGATTTGAATAAGAAAATTGACTTTTATAGCAGACAGTAAAACTGTAAATGCTTTTGAGGACTTACTGGGCTTCGCTGAAGGCCTTGAGGACCTCTCGGTCTAGGTAGCTGGATGTGTACAACAGGTCTGGGTCACTGTCTGTGCCATGCAGGGGAGGCCGAGATGCGTCCTTGCCCTCTAATAAGTTCTCCAGTAGGGGGAGCTCTATCAGCTGCAACAGCCTGAACACTGCCTGCTGGTGCCACACCTCATCCACACCTGTTAAAAGTCAGAAGTGTCTTAGGTGCACAAATACACAGACACACGAGTATGACCAAGCATTTACTGCACACAGCCGGTCCTGTTTTGCATCATTCTCCTGTGTCTCATCAGATAGAGGACAACTTACGCTCTTGTGAGAGGCCGAGGTTGATCATCTGAGGGGTGATGGTCGAGCCCAGGTTGAGGTTTCCCAGCACGTCCTCCATTGTTTTGTCTGTTGTTACAGGGGAGTGGGTGGAGTAGCCCAGCACCTCTTGTCTGAAGAGTAACATAATTACAGCAATCAGTGCAAAATGATTGAAGAGAGGAAAAAAAACAGACTTATTACAGGAACAAATGTGGCGTCAGGCTGCAAATGTTTTCTAGTACATGTGATTCAGTCTCAATTTACTGCTGCTTTGATTACAGTCATTTCATATCAAACTGACAAAATAAATGTTCTATTTTCAACATTAAACAGTTTCTGATGACCATTGAATTGGATGTGAAGTTCTTCTTTTTTGTTTACATTGCATTATTGCCATTAAGACTTGACTCGGCCCATGCTGCAAACAACAAAAGCCTCACTTAAACTGCTTGAGCACATGGCTCATCTCCCATTAGGGACTTATAGCATAGTCCAGCTTGGAGCTGTCACTCTGATAAAAACATCAGATCAGAAGGGAGCAAACACAAAGTCCTGAGGCCATGTGTTAGCAAGCATCCTGCCTGTCTCTGCTTTGTGCTCCACGGCATCACTAGAACGTGACTCTCCAGCCACAAAGTAAAGGAGAATTGACTGACTGACACTTATTCGCTTTCTTGCTGAGAGTCAGATGAGATGTTCTATAACATTATCATGTCTGAACTGTCAATATGAAGCTACAGCCAGCAGCCAGTCACTCAGCTTAGCTTAGCACAAAACACTACAAAACACTACAACTACGAAATTCGAAAACGCCAAAAAACTGTCTGTGAAACAAAAAAATTGCTTTTACACTTCAGTTGCAGTATTGCAAACGAATGAAATATAACATGCTACTTAGCGAGATTTAGAAGTTCCTTTGTTACAGAGCCGAGCTAGTTTCCCGCTATTTCCGGTCTTTGTGCTAAGCTTTAAAATGACGATACAGACATGAGAGTGTTCCTTCTCATTTCACTCTCACCAAGAAAAAGAATAAAACATGTTGGAGCAAGAACCTCAGTGGTTTTCTATCTCTTACGTCTCTCTTCTAATATTACATTTAGATTTTGCTATTTAAGTTGGTATTTAAACTTAAAATTGCAATACTGGTAATGAAGGGGTTACTGGAAATGAATGGTATCAAGACATGTCTACATGATGGGAGTTCAAGAATCTCATGCCATGCCTCACTAGCTTTCAGAGGCTGCCAGTCTAAAGCCATGCTGGATTTTGGATTAACTCCTGGCTATCAGGAGAAAGGAGAACAAAGCAAATCAAAATTGAGATCTGAAGATGTTGTGACATGAGTCTGTACCTTTCACGTGACGGACTATAGCTGTTCTTGTTCCTGTTCATGCTCGGTGAGTCATAGCCGCTCTCGATGGTACTAGTGGAGTGAGAGTTGGCGTTGGTCAGCGATGATGAGGAGCTGGTTGCCGGGCTCAGGAACCTGTACAAACTGCAACTACTGTCCTCAAACGTTGCCCTCTTCTTTTCCTTCCCGAATACTTTAATGCCCACGGGCTCAAACACCCTCGAGTCCATCAGGGCCTGGCAAAGACGGACGGCCTTGTAGCGAGGCACTGCCTCATCGCCAAAGAAACGGTTGAGGGTGATGTGTGCCAACACCACATCCACTGCCTCTGAGCCCAGGAAGCAGTCATGGTAGGACTTGAGGTTGTGGCGCCGGCGCTTGACCTCCACATGAGTGTGGAGATTGGAGATGATGCTGCTCCAGATATAAGTGGCCCGGAAAGGCTTCCCAGCCATGCCTTGTCCTGATGGAGGAGGACAGGAGAGAATCAGTGGATGGAAAAGGAGACCTGAAGTGGAGGTGATAAACTCTTTAATCAACCAAGAAAAGCAGGGAATGAGCTTCCTTGACATTTCATAATCACAGTTCACAAGATTCATAATTCAAATGCTGCACAGATTCCAACTAACTGGCAATGACAATAGCACTTAGAATACTAGTGGCTGAAAGGATTAGTTGGTTGGTAAATCAATTGAAAATGAATCAACAACAATTTATTTTCTAATCAATTAATCATTTCAATAATTCATCAACTAATTTTTGCAAGTTGGAAACTTCTCAAAATGGATTTCCTGCTTTTCTGTGGGTTAAATCATTGTAAATTTAATATTTTCAGGTTCGGACCACTGGTCAGACTAAGCCATTGATCAGTTAATGAGACAAATAATCACATAATTAACAAAAGCAACAAGAAAAAACAGGATGAAAATAAACTTTTATACATGCAGACGCTATAAAACCCCAACACAACTAATTCAACTTCCCTAAACACTAATCCCTTTGGTGATCCAGTTGTCCACAACTGTCTCAGCTTTGTCTATTGTCTGAGTAATTTCTCAGAAACTACAGAGAATTGTGCTTTCTGTCTTCACCAAACACACACTCCCTGTCCTCTGTGTATCGTCACATAATCTGAATCTGGATTTGAGTTACTGTACGTGGGTGTAACAGCGCGAGGTCCAGGATCAATGTATCCCATTGGTGTAGTAGTCAAACCCAAATCCTCTTTTGAGGCCTGTTTGTGTGCAGTATTGAAAAGCTTAATTTTAATACAATTAACATGACTAACGTTTAAGAATCAAATACTGAAGTCAACAAAAGCATCAAATGTGCCTGATGTACCATAACAGACACCCAACACAATCTTTGTACACAGCCGGCGACACTCAGATCACATGCACAAGGAAACAGAGACAATGATCATATTGTGAGCCTTCTCTCACAAGAGATATCCTAATATCTTCCTGTTGTGTTTTCCACTGGATGGGCTGCATTGCTACTAATACAGGTGCGTAAAGCAGTAGGTGGTTTGTGCAACCAAACACAAAGACATGCTCAAAACTCCATCAAGTTTTTTCTCAACATAATCTAATCTGCCTGTCTTTGTTAGATTGGTTTTTGTTGATGGAAAACGATTTGTGTCATTCACCACGAGCCAGACCTATGAAACAAAGTTAAGCTGGCCTTAGTGAGATGTTACTGTGGCTTTCATCTCACAACAGGAAACATTTAAAGCCTGTTGAGCAAATGCTAGGGGAGGATCTGAGAGATTCACTAAGGCCAGAGGCAATAAATCAGGCACCTGACAGCAGCAGCCAGGCTCCATGTTATGATAACACAACATGACAAATACAATTAGTGACCCATCTGTGAAACTTGAAAACAAAAACACCCGGGAACAGGACAGCGGTAAGCAGATGTTTGCCCACTCGTTTCAGAAAATACAACAGCTCATTGAGAGAAGGGGAAGGTGTGCGGTAGGTATCTTGGTGATCTACTGATTAATGAGATGCATCTGAGTCAAACTGCGTGTCCCTCTGGGGGAGAAGAAACTGTGCTGAACTGGGGATTTGCATATCAGGGAAGAACAACAGGAACAACAGCAGTTGTTCACAGAAGAACACCTTTAAACAATTTGCATGAATAATAGGAAGACAATTCAATTAAATATTTCCTTCATTGCAACCAGAAATTCTAATTTGAGAAGATATCCTCAAAATACATAGAAGTAGCCTACANTATATTTTTTTTTTTTTACAAATATCAGTCAGTGCACTCATTTTAAACTCACTGTAAATGCAGAACATAATAGGAATTATATAGGCCTACTATTTGAACAATTAGTAGAAAAAACTGCATTATCAGAATAAAGTCCTTGATTTAGGAGTTAGGGCAGGACCATCTGGAGAATCCCATCAGGGGTCCCTGGATTACCACTCACACAATAAATCCGGATCTGATCAATATCCATTAATGCTTGTTCAAAGAGGTACAAAAAAAAAGGAAAAAAAAAAAGTGGGGGTCAGGCGGGGGTCAAAACAATCCTGGGAACCCGGCTCTGCTCTGTCACCTCTTGTTGCTTGCGCCAGGCAGAGATTTGAGCCCAGTTTGCATAGCTGACGCCATGTCTCCTTCCTTGTGACTCTGTAAAAACCCATCAGGTAGACTGTGGCACGATGCAAGAGGGAACTGACCTGCGTTTCAGCCAAGGACAACAGTGCGCCGTGTGTTTGCACACATCAGTGGAGGTAAATAATCGCAGAGGGAGCAGCGCAGTTAGCACAGCTAGATACAACTCCCTAAACCTGAGCTAGTATTATCACTGCAGCAGTGAAGCCAACACACGTGAAAATAATATTATATGAATAAATAATATAAGTTTAACCTGCAACAAGCACAAATCTACTCACTTCAAGCAATGAAAACGCACTGTGGCACCATCAGACCAATTGCAGCAGGTTGATAATAGCCTGCGGCCGACACCTTCATTCCTCCAGCATGCTGACACTAGTGAGATTTAACCGATCAAGCCGCGGGACACAGTATGAACCCGTATGAATTTGAACCCTCATATCCTGTGCGGTATATACTGGCAGCAGACCCAACTGCAGATACAGCAAAACAAATACTGTTCACGTACCTGAAGGATGGGTAAGTCCCCCTCAGCTCTCAGCACTTGTGGTCA